TTATTTTGATAACTTGCTATACAAAAGTCGAAATTACGAATTTTTGAAACTGTTTGAAACCGTGAAAGTCAGCAGCCCACACCGGAAATGGCTGACCCGGTTTGTTTTAGATCGCTGTATTTTCGCCCGACTTGTCAAAAATAAAACATCTGTTGTTCAAATCATTGCATTTTTTACTTGAATCGTACAATTTTCGAAGTAATTAGGGTGTTTTAATTTGATGACTTCCGTTACAAAAGTCGAAATTCTGAATTTTCCAAACTGCTTGTAAACGTGTGACAATCATCCGACAACGAAAATGGCTGACCCGATCTTTTTTGATTGCTTTATTTTCGCCCGATTTCTCAAAAATAAAACATCTATTGTCCAAATTGTTGTATTTTTTACTTGAGTCATGCCATTTTCGAAGTAATTAGGGTATTTTATTTTGATAACTTGCTATACAAAAGTCGAAATTACAAATTTTCTAAACTGTTTGAAACCGTGAAAGTCAGCAGCTTACACCGGAAATGGCTGACCCGGTCTGTTTTAGATCGCTGTATTTTCGCCCGATTTCTCAAAATAAAAACATCTGTTGTTCAAATTATTGCGTTTACTAAATATTAGGGTATTGCGTTTACTAAACAATTTGAGTATTTTAATTTGATTACTTGCTCTAAAAAAGTCGAAAATCTGAATTTTCTAAACTATTTGGAAACGTGTGATACTAAGTGGAAAACTCATTAACATACAATTAGCATATTCATGACCGTCGCTTCAGTAGTCACGCAGGGAAACTCGCGCGTTTTGCGTGATTTCACGAATGCTACCGACAGTATAAATAAACAGATGGTTGTTTATTCGTTAATAAGATTGTGAGATTATTTGGAGGATTATAACCCAGGTTAAAATAAAAGAAACACTGTAGTTGCCTGTCCCTCTCATTCTAAGGTCTATGCTTTAACCTATCACTACTTTCTTGCCCAAATTTGTTTTCACTATTTTCTTGTACCCTAATTTTGGAGCCAACAGACAAAATTTGAGTCAGTTTTTAGTTTTTACTCAAAAAATTTGGCTATTTTCGTCAAACCTTCTGAAAAATATTCTGGGACTATATTGTGAATTTGTGATGAAACGAGGAAACTGGTGGTGAAAAAGGTTAAAATATTCAGACTCACAATTTGTAAACTTTATTCAAACATAACATTTGCGTCCAAACTTCTTTTTTCATTTTTTTATAAGATCATAAATTCAGTCCAATAGTTAGAATCAAGCTGATAAGAAAAATCAGCAATGATAGATTAAAAGAGGGGGTGTGGAACTACTTTTTGTCTTTCATTGTTACTCAAGTTTTACTACATGTCTACTCGATTCTCTGTGATCTTCAGGTTATAAAATAACATCAGCAAGGCACGTTTTCCCTCAAACAGAATTCACCAGATTGAGAAACAAATGTAGTTTTGAATAGAAGACAAAAACCTTCTTGAGGCATACATTCTGATTTATTTACATCCATTTAATTTGTCCACACATTAGTCACAAATGCACTGTAATGGACACTAATTATATAAAATTCTGTAATATTTAGAAAAAATTGGGATACTTTGCTCTTGACAACTTTCAGAAAGCTTTCATTTTGTATACAATGAAGTATTGTTCGACAGTATGACGTGTATGTATGTGATTTGCATTTTCGATGTGTTTTACGCCACGTTATGCAATATGATCATAATTGGTACAACAGTCTCCTTGTTTGAAGAAAATCACAATCATTTCCACGATCAGTAAAGATATACAGTGATACACATAGCGAGGCGTGACTCGGTAAGGTTGCCAAATAAAAGAACGCTCGACAAAACTGGCACTACATACTCTTCTCTAGTACACTCCACAGAAGACATAATCAGTATGCCACTACCGGAAGTGTACATGTATAAGCACCAACTAGCAAAGGCTGTCGTGACAAATATTGTAACAATACACCTCAACGGGTAAGCCAAGAAGTATGATGGGACACACAGTTAACTTACGTGTCTGGCAAACGCTAAATCATGTTGTTTTCAAAAGAACTGCGCCTCCCACAGTAAACGATCGATAAAAACTATTTTCCAAAACGCTGGAAAACTTCTTCCTGACAGCAAAGATGGCGATTGTAATCTACGCATGTGCAGGGTTCAATGGGGATTAGCATAAAGGGAGTTGTCTAACTATATACGCGGGAGGGATCGGGTTAGTTACCTAGAGGTATTAACAATTCAATGAAAGGTCGCTGGAGGGTGTGGGGAGACCGCATTGACTCTCATTTTAAGTTCATTAACGTATTTTTTTTTACTTTTGTGTTTATATTTAGGGTGATTCCGATAAAATACAAATGGTACTCAAAATAACGTAAAAATTGTGTTCACGTCCAAGATAATGTCGCTGTCACATGGCCGTTTGACAACATGACGCAAAGTATTTTGTTTTATTTGAAATAAACCAACACTTACTCCAATATTAAAACATATGCACATATGTCAACATACTTCGCTGAATTGAGGAATCCGTATAACGCCAAAGAAATTCAACTATCGTTTTCACCAGATTCAATATATATCGAAATCGATATTATTATTATGTATATAGCGCACTACACTCATAATAGTTTAGAAAAGGATATTTAGATGACCCTAAAAAATATTTTAACATTGGTTAAAAGGGAATGTTTTCAAGTGACTGGGCGAAAGCTCACTTTGTGTTATTATTTTGTAGCGTTGTCAATACCAGTGGATTTGCTGCCTCTAAAAAGCGGAAAATTTGGAGAAAAAAGTGAACGGAATAGTTACGCTTTAGCTTAAGCGTACAGAACATACGCCGATGCCCTCACAAAATTGTCTGATTTCGATATTGAAATCCGCTGTTATTGGTAATGGACCGTTTTATTTGATGCCGATTTTAGTATTAAATACTTGTTATCTAACAATTTCTCTTCTTTTTCAATAGTTTCTTCTTTATTCGTTTTCGAAAACAACATTCTATTCATATCCATGGCACAGGGCCTTGATGCTCAATAATGGGATACATTATCGCGAATAATCTGCTGCAGTGACGTCATAAAATCCACTGGTATTAATAATGCTATAATATAATATAATATAATATAATCGGGTGAACGCGGTGCTTTTCAGCGCTCCCCGATTTTCTGCCTGTTTTGCGTTTTTGCGTTCGTTGTGCGCCCGTGTTTTTACACAGTTGTATATATAGTTTGTCTACCTTTTACGTGAGTAATTTATATTTGTTGTTTTTGTTATTATTGTGGTTTTTGGAGTGTTTTTGTCTTTGCCTTGGCAAGGTGGTCGGCAACCAAGATGGCTGCCGCTCACACAAGGCCACCGTCAACACCAACAGGTCACCTTACTAGAAACCATGCGGTACGGTGTGAAAACATTGATGGCATTCCAGTAGAAACTTATGTGGAGTCGGTTGCAGATTTAGTCGGGGCCAGTAATATTGTGGCTGCATCCCGTATGAACCAGTTATTGTCTTTTTAAATAAGGTTACATGGGTCGAGTCGACATGGTTTCTGCCGCTGGCCTTGACATTCGAGACCTCCATGTTTCTGTTGAACCTCTTGCCCGCCCCTCAACAAAAATTGTTCTATCAAATGTTCCCCCTTTTTTACCTGACAATTTTATTACAGATGCCTTAGCTAAATACGGGCGTGTAATGAGCGCGGTGCGAGCGATCCCACTCGGGTGCAAAAGACCAGCACTGAAACACGTAAAGTCTTTTCGCCGCCAAGTTTATGTATATTTAAAGGATCTCAATATCAACGGTTTATTACCTATTACTTTTCAAGGTCAGACATATAATATTTACGTTTCGTCTGACGAATTAACTTGCTTTTCATGTAACATGAAGGGACATACACGTAAAACTTGTCCAAACTCTCAAACAATGAATATGCAAATGATGAAAACAATCGTGCTCAAAATAGCTTTCCAACAGACTCTCAACAGGTGAATGTAGTTACTAATTTAAATTCTCATGACACATTGCAGGACAAAGACGATGACATAACTGATATAATTAACACCCAAACACCAGATACTGAGATAAATAATCTTGAGACAGATGGTGCAACAGAAAACATTGAACTTGAAACTGAAATGGATACAGATTCATCCAAAAATATGAGCAAAAAGCGCACGCGCTCTAAATCACCAGTTAATAGAGAAGAACAAAACAATGACCAGTTAAATGACGAAAATAAATGTGAACCAAGTTCTAAAAAGCGTAACGATGAAAATGTAATCGAAATTGTTGAACAAAATTGTCCGATTGATGAAGAGAGGGTACGAATCCCTCCTTCCCCTTCCATTGCACTGCCATCGCCTCCCCTACCCCCTCCACCCCACAAACCCTTACCCCACGTCTATGCCAATGTAACAGTGTGTACTCCAAAGCCACAGCCCGAGCTTACGGAGTCGACCCCATTTCCATCATCTCCCTCACTTGAGTTCACAGTTGAATCCCCGCGCTATTCGCCTCTATCTGAAAT